ATATTATGACGTTTATCTAAAAATGCACATTATATACAATTGCTTACTTTTTGTAAATGAATTTTCCTTGGTAAAAAGTAATTTGAGGTGACATTTAATGCTCCCATAGTGTAATTAAATCCTTAGTTAGTGATGCTATTTTATATTTGATCATTCGTTAAAAGGCTAAATTTGCGAGCAAAGCAAGCATATACATATCTATATATAATTATTTAGTTTTTTTTTTATTATTATTTTTTTATTTTTTTTTATTTTATAGCCATACACTTATTGAGAAACAGAAATGCAGCCGGGTATTTCAGTAGTAATTGAACTTTTTTTTTTTTTTTTTTAAATATATGAGAAGAGAAGAGATAGTACTCGTAATTTCTGATTGCAATTTTTCGCCAACCCCTTGAGAAAGTGCCTTATTATTTGTTCTCTGTCTGAGAGTCGATGTCATACTTAGTGCCATTTTTATGTGCTTCTCATTTCCCAACATCTGACCCTCTCCCCATGCTCCTCACCGCAATACCGAACATCTATTCATTCTTGGTATGCGAAGAAGTTGTACTGTGTTCCTCATACATCAATTATTACTGACATATAACATCACTATTCTCCTGTAGTGAAGAGGCACTAAAATGTTAAACAGAATGAAAAACATTTTGGTAAGACCTCCGAAATAAACGTGTATGATACAACTTCTGGTTTGCAGGGTGGTCTCTCGCGATTTATGTGGCATGGAATTTGGCTTCTGGAGAAACGAATTTTTCGGTGTTATTTCATGGATTTCTTAGTTTCGCCGCGGCAGTTATAAATATGAGATGTTAAATGAGAAAATTTTGTTTCTCAGTAAAAGAAAAAGTTTTGTAGTTGTTACTTTGTATTTCGTACCGAGCATTAGCGTTAAAACTGAATTCATACGCATTCGCTTTTTTGTGCGATCTTGTATGTAAGTAGATATAAAATGGGAATTCATTGACACCCGGAATGCAAAGGGAGCCGTGGCCACCGATGTCAACGAAAGTGAGGTCAAAGGGGGAGCGTGCAGCAAAATCAGTGACGTCACCGGAAGAGGCGTATCCTGTGAAGTAGAGGCGAGTTGTTTTAGGCTGCTGGTGGAAATGAGTTGCAGAATTCTTCTTTTAGTTGTCGGCTTCACATTTCAATTTAATTTTTCAAATATCTGCTTTTTATTTATCATGTTACTTGATTTTAAACATTATTTAACTTATTTACATTTTTGCCTTTCTAGTTCCCGACATAATCTGAACTTATTTATTGTAAATTTCGATTGTAATAACCCCTTTTATGTTGCTTATTTTTCTATTTCACTTAATTTTGCATGATTCCTTCCACATGTTTAAATTTCTTAAGCATAGCGAGATTTTTAAATTAACATTTTATTTTACGACTGTCAATGACTACTCATGAGTTATGTATTAAACACTGCTTACTTAGTTTTTCTTTTAAAATTCTATTTTAATTTACGTGTTTTACCAGTTTTTCATTCTGTAATCATCTTGCCATTACTGATTTTAATATTTCTCGTCATTTTAGATGCTAGTATGAATTCATTCGCATTTTCATCCTTTATAATTTCCTGCATATTTAAATATTCCTTGTAATTTTTAATATCATCTGTATTAAACGCATGTTTTAAGTTCTTTGATGTCATCCATGTTCAGTTTGGAACCCTGATTACCTTTAAGCTAGCTTGATATAATATGAATTTTTAGAATGAAGTCTCAACTTTCTTTCATCTGTGTTTTACAACCACATTGACTGTTTCAATGCGCTCATACACAAAGTTTTCGTAATACTTCTAACATTTAGTAATTTTAAACTCAGTATGTTAATTTATTTCATTCATTCCGTTATTTTTACATTTTAGGTGCATTCTAAATGGTAATTTTACCTTGGTATACATTTTCAAGTGCTAAATTATGGGTGTGTCGACTACCATGGGAAACTTTCTGTAGAAAAAGCATTTATTTATATTGCATAGCTGGCAAAATAAATAACAACATTATATATATATATATTATATGTATGTATTTAAAGTTAATAGTTTTTCTTTTATTTTGGCTGAGTAATTAACTACTATGAGAAAGAGGTCTATAATCTTACGATATTTAACTCACATTTAATAACTTTTTTCTAGAATCGACGTTGAACTGCGTTCATTAAATTCGTTGAAACTCTTTATTATTATCTTTTTAAATGCTTCATTAATCTGTCTTTCTATATCATATCCTTTAAATAATTGCAAACAATTGCTGCAGAAATGCAAATAAATGTGTTCAATTTCTCCACTTTCACACTCACGACTTATTTTAATGATAACTATTGAATACTAGACACCGATATATATGTACATTATAATTCAATTTTTCTGCAGCTTGCTGTTTTATATTTTCAAGAGCATTTAAATCTTCCTCATTCTCTGTGTTAAATGGAAATTGACTCAATTGAGAACATACTTTCAAATACTTTGCAATTTTAGTAGACTTGCATGCATTGACAGGGGGCGCATTTACTTCTTTTTTCCAAGGTTCGTGTCAGACCATGTTCCACTCGAATGTGGCGCAGTAGATCACTTTTTCTTTTAAACACTGCTCACCATTGGGTATAATTCTAAGATTAGAAGTTTCGTGTTGTTCCAAAGCATCATCGTTTGTTAAAACTCTTTGAGCTGCTACTACATTTAAAAAAAGTGTCATGTGTCTCTTCAAATCCCTTTTACTTGAAAAACCATCTGAACGTTCAGTACATTTTCTAAGATGGGAAGCTTGATGTTGTTTTAAATAATCAAGTTCAACAAATATCTTTGAGCATGATTTGCCCTTAAGAGTAACTTTTTGAGATTTCGTATGTCTCCTCAAATCCCTTTTACTTGAAAAAAACATTCGAACATTCAGTACAGGTTTTTAGATGAATAAGTTTACAGCATCTCAACTTATCAACTTCACTGAATTTCGTAGGACATATACTACATCCGAAGGTTTTTTCGTAAGACTTCAGGTGTCTATTCAGATCACTTTTGTTTTTGACAATATTACAAGGTATTTCTCCCACTTCCCTAGCGTGCCTTCGTGGTGTTACGGTAGCACGCTGGGCCGATATTCCAGAGGTCCGTGGTTCGATTCCCGGCGAAGGCGGTTGCATATTTTTCATCTTTTCTGCTTCTAATTAACCTAATGACTCTACAAGTGGCGCCCGAACTAAAAGGGTTGTGGATGATGATTCTCCGCACCCAGGATTTGGCGACTAGGTCTCCTAAAACCCTAGTCGCCCTTTAAAAAGGGGAGTATATAAGGTATTTCTCCCACTTCCCTAGCGTGCCTTCGTGGTGTAACGGTAGCACGCTGGGCCGGTATTCCAGAGGTCCGTGGTTCGATTTCCGGCGAAGGCGGTTGCATATTTTTCATCATTTCTGCTTCCAATTAACCTAATGACTCTACAATATTTGTAAGCACATCGCCCCCAAAAAACTTCGGAGATGGATCGTTTCCTGAACCCTTAAGTATCAACGCGAATAAATCGCTTGAAGCGCATACTACCCTGGAAAGGTTTTTTTTTTAGTATGAATTCTCATATGTCTGTTCAAGGCTTTATGTCTAAAGGAAGACATTTTACATTCTACGCACTGAAAGGAACGTTCCCCCGTTTGTATCTGTAGATACTGATATAAATTGTTTTTCAAAGTAAACATCTTACCACAAGTAGGACACATATGAGAGAAAACACGAGAAATTCATAAGTATTGGAATAATTCAATATGATATACACATATATATATATAATTAAAGCGATCTTTCTTTTACACCAACGTACCGAAAATGGTGTTTAATAGAATATTGATAATGTAAACTGTAATTGTACTATTCTTCAAACGTTAACAACCGAACATTTTCATTTTAAATCACTTTACGCAGGTTTTTTTCCCATAAAAAATATATTGCTCTAGTAACATAAAAATTAAATATATAATACGCCTTAAACATGTATGTTAAAGCTATATTTCATGAAAACGTACCTCTTTATGCCTCACCAACGGTATCATTGAAGAATGAAGACGAAAATGATGCATTATCTATTTCGAATATATAAAGAGCAGAAAACTCACCTCGCACAAGCATAAAGCTAGTATATAAGACAATGGAAACATGATTTAGGAAGATATGAATTTATACATGCTATTCTACTGATCAAGATATCAAATCAATTCACCTGTCAGATAATATGGATCAAGAAACAGTACCTCTTAGCCAGTTAGAGAGTACGTAAATTTTATTAATTTACTGATGTGTGATTACTATCTAATATGTCAATCATCTAGTCTTGTTTTTCTTCTGGCCAGAATGATGCTAATAACACGAGAAGTCACCTCCAACCTTATCAAAATTAGGTAAATCAATCTAGGCTAAATAGATGGGATAGCTACGTTATCTTAAGATACTAAACATATGATTATGGAACTAACGACCCATTGATCATAACTAAACAAATGCATTACATATTCAAAAAATAATGAAATATCATTAGTGATACTGTCAGATACTACCGTGAAAAATAATTGTTGTACTCTATTTTGTCTGGATTCATTCGCTTAAATTTTATTAAATTCTACTGGTCGTTCATCTGTTGCCAATTTTGAAAACTAAATTGAATTCCGCAACCGAAACTAGAAGAACCCTACAACTCATATCATCTAGCCCTAAAACAACTTGCCTCCACTCCTCAGGATCCGTCCCTTCCGGTGATACTGGCCACGCCTCTCTACACACCTGGTTCATCGGTGAATCCCTATTTTATATCTGCTAATATATTTTCGTATTGTTTCAATTATTTACTGTAACGTTAGATCAAAATGTAATATATGAAAATTACTTGAAGAACTCTGGTGAGTCTTTTGATGAAAGTGTAGCTTTAAAATGTCTTCACTGTATTGCGTGTATGCAGAAAAACTTACTTTTTTTTTTTTTTTTTTTTTTTTTCTTCCCTTCTTTATATAGGATGCTTGTAGAGTCTGCAAGGATTATATGAAGCGGGATCCCGAGAATCTCAATTTTACGGCTTTGTCATTTGGTGCTGTTTATTGAATTCTCACCATGGTACGTGTTCTACCTTTTTTTAATCATTTAATAATTTTGTTTAAAAGTAAAATCTTTTATTAAATGAAAAGTTGGTAAATTTTTATTAAAAAAAAATATTTTTGCAAGAGTCTTTTACTTTTTTTAAAATGGAAATGAACATTTGTTCTCAACAGACCCTGTGTCCGATGCACTGTCAGGCCGCGCCAGACGGTTGAAAAAATTTTTGGCAAAAACGTTGCAGAATTTTAGCCAAAATTAAAGGCAGCAAAATTTTGGAGATATCGGGCAGCATAGTGATTGGAGGCATTGGGAGCAAAAAGCCTAACGTTGGTCATAATCCTCATTACAGTGCTTGTAATTTGGTATATACACTTACGAGCCAAAACATTATGACCACCCCACACTTTTCAGTGAAATCGTATGGATGACATTGAGAGCACGTGATTAAGTGAGATTGGTATTTAACTGCTTCTGGAGAAGGTAAGGAATCATTCTTGCACTTACTTTTGCGCATGATGGGAAAGGCTACTGATCTAAGCAAATTTGATAAAGAGCAGATTGTAATGGCCCGAAGACTCGGAATGAGTACCTCCGAAGTTGCACGACTGGTAGGTTGTTAATATTTATGCAGAGAGGATACATGACAGTGAAACCAGCAATAGACGCTGCTAAGATGTTGGACGCCCACGCGTCGTCAAAGAAAGAGGACTTCGAAGACTGACCCGCTTGGTACAACAAAATCGGCCCCAAACAGTGGCTCAGCTAGTGCAAGTGTTTCGGAACACACAGTTCAGCGGACACTGTTTAGATATGGCACTGCGCAGTAGACTGTGCGTATGTGCCTCTCTTGACCACTCGTGCCCCTCTTGAGTAAGCGTTATTGTCAAGTACGTCTGTAGTGGGCCCAGGAACATCGAGACTGGACCATGGATAAATGGGAGACAGTTGCCTGTCGGATGACGTGGATGGTCGTGTCAGGGTACGCCGTCTCCCGGGTGAACAGTTGCCACCCCCCCGCACAGCAGGTCATAAACAGGCTGGTGGTTGTGGTGGCGGTATTATGCTTTGGGAGGGGGCGTTCTCATGGGCGGCTATGGGAGCCTTAGTCGTGATAACTGTGGATGACTTGCACCTTCACATAACGTCTCTTCCCAAGTGGAAATGGAATCTTCCAGCTGGACAATGCCCCATGTCACATGGCTCGAACTGCTCTGGAGTGGTTCGAGGAGCATAAGAATGATTTCTAGTTAACGTCCTGTCCAGCTAATTCACCGGATCTTAACCTGATAGAGTACATAGTAAAGTGCTTGTCGTATTTTGATTTCATGGTTAAAACAAAGTTAAAATGTGTAATACTTAATGCTCATTGCGATACTGAAAAGAGTAACAAATGGGAAATTGAGTTATTGAATGTTTTCTATAAAGTAAAATCTGTTCCCAATGGCTGTTTTTAGTAAAAATCGAGTATTATTTAAAAATTTGTGTGCTTGTATTCTATTGAAAATATTAACTGCTTGAGTGATGATTTCTATTTAAGCTTTTGTTTAATTTAAGTGCGTGAAAGAATTTCAGATGGAATGAAAAATATTCATATGGGACTTATTCGCTAAATTCTGCCGCGCTGATCTGAATCTTCCAATTTCAGTAAATGCTTCAAAGCTCAAGTTTTATCTGCCACTTGTTTTTAAACAGTTACCGAACGTTTTCTTAGTTTAGCTTTCATTTCTTTTTTCCTTGGGAAGGGGGGGGGAAGAAACTCGTAGCATTAAGCTTTTGCATATGCCATTTTTCTGTATTATTTGTGGGAAAACAGCATAGATATGTGACAGTGTAAAACCGAGTTTTGCTAACTTTATAATCCAATAACATATTTATAGTCTGAAACTGAGTTCTGTGTAGTGAAAATTTTTTTTCGTTTAGTTGAATAATTATACTTTTCTGCACATTTTTGTGCTGTATATTACTCATTAAATTTACTGTTACGAAATGTCAAGGCGCGATGAGATGGCTTCCCCGCAAAGCAATTTTAAGGTTGCCACATTTGGCGAGAAATCGCCCATTTGGCGACAAAATTGGCGATATGCCATGGACTGATGGAGAACCTTCTGGAACGAATTCTTACCGGCTTAGCCCAGAATGTTCTCGAACACAAGTCGAAAGCTATATAAACCCTGCTGGTCCGCAGTCAATTACGATCGAGAGTGAGTGCCTTGTCGAGAGGGCGAGTCTGTCTCGTCTAGAGTGCGACTGTCTCATCTAGTTAGTTCGTGCGGAGACGATCGAGTTGACAGCCGGCCAGCGAGTGCCGAGTGGGTCTTCGATTGCACCGAAGGAGTCTGTTAGTGTATCGCGGTTAGTGCATCGTCGAGAGAGTGTGTTGAGCTCCGGGAACGACTGAACCGAAGAGTCGGGAGCTGTGCTTGTGTGTCGTCGAGTGCATCGCGAGTTGTAGCGTGGAGTGTCTCGAGAGTACGTGGAGTTCCGAGAACGACCAAGCAGAGTCGGGTGCTTTGCCGGAAGCTGTCTGCACCGTTATTGCCTGACAGTGTGAAGGCTGTGTCGCTGATTGTTCCAGCGTATTTATAGTAGATCTTCGACGACTGTAAAAGTGTTTTGGAGCTGTCCTGATTAATATTGATAAATAAAGTGTGTTTCGATACTTCATCCAGTGTCATCGTTATTCACTCCAAATCTACGAACCCCGTACGAATGTGAAGGAAGAAAATAACGTAACAACTGGTGTCAGAAGAAAGAAAAACGTAACATTACGTTGTAATTAGTGAATGAATGGAAAATCTTGCGCTATGCGCGTTTATAGCACATACGTAATTATGTAATAAAAATTAAGCTAACAATTTTGGTGGGAGTGATGGAAAGTAAATGTTGCAATTACGTCTAGTCAGATATCTAGAAAATACAAAAGGCGAAACGTAGATCTTCATGTGCAATTTTTAGAAGTGGAATTAAAGTTGCAAAAATGTACCATAATCTTATTTAGCTCAGTTCCATTTTTTTCCCGCTGAATCGACGCAAATTTATTTTCCTTACGTGTTTAATCCCCCTTCCCTTTTTTTAAATAAGTGAGCTTTAAAGTGGAGCTTTCATTAACTCCGCCCTGAACCTGTGGTTGGTCTGCACCTGAACTGATAGATTATCATCCGGAATTGCCAATACCGATTGAAAACGCCTCGGAAATACATTATCGTGTTTGTTATCATGCCTCAAAAATCTAACAACGCTGTAGTATCTTCTTTACAAGGGATGCATCACTTCGTGACTAAACGATTATTGTAGCGCTCTCCAAAATAGATATCAGGACGTTTGGCACGCGCGCACTCTCAAATTTTTTGTATTTCTTCTTTTTACTTAATTGCCTTTTTTTATTGACTCTGCATTCACGGGAACGTCGTGACTATGGCACGTGGACTATGTCACGACCTGTAGTCACGATTCTTACGAGCCCGCCTGGTCTTCTCCGATATATATATATATATATATACCCATTTTCCACTCAAGCGAAGAGCGCCTCGAGCATATCACACGTTTTGCAATGGAGTTGAATGGTTGCCTTTGTAATTTATTCGCGCGCGCGGGTAAAGCTAATAACTAATTGGCATTTTTCTTGTCTTGTTACACCTGGAGGCTATGATGTTGTGTCTATGAAATGAAGTTTTTGGATAACTCTGGATGTGTTATTGCCTTTTGGAATTTGACTGAATTCTTTACTTAATTTAAGACCCGCAGTTTTTGATGAGAACTCGCTAATGGCTAAACCTTTGTGTGGGTCATCTGTGTGGGCCCATTTCCTTTTTAACCCTATTTATTTTATTGCAGAATAAATAGCTTTCACTCTTAATAAGTGTGTTGTAATTACTTATTTCGCTGCATGAAAGGTTTTAAAAAAGAATAAAGAGAGTCCATGCTCAAAGAACTGTGCATCCGATCTTAAAATGGATTCTTTTCTTAAGTCAAAGTTAAAAGGATTTTCTTGCGTAGAAAATTTAGATTGGTATGAACAATGCGTTTGCTTTTTGTGCTTTATTGTAAAATTATTTTTATTTGATGAAATGGAATAGTGGTTCAGTTTAAATTGCCGCAAGAGGTCCAAAAGGAAGTAAACAGGATAATGCAAAAACTGTATTTCGATGAATTTATTATCCATAGTAATACAATTATACCTAAAATTTCTTTTTTCAAAGTGATTTTATTATTATTATTATATTCTGGACATGTTAGATCCTGAATATATGGTTCTACATCTGAACTGACGCTGCCGCAAGTCGGCATTATAATGACCTGTTATGAATTATTTGTACACCTACTCAAAAAAGGGGGATTGTTCTATCTCCCGTTATTATTATCTCCCGTTTTGAAATTCAACTTGCGTTCTTCATATCTCGAAAGCGCGACTTAGGATATGTATTAGATTTATCTGTAGCGTTGTTCTAGCATATGTATTTTGACCCAAAATTGGACTTTTTCTGAAATGACATGCTCCCCTTTTTTTTCTCCCCCTTCCCCCCCCCAAAAAAAACCCCACTGCAGTTTTATTTATTTATTTATTTATTTATTTTTCTAAATTAGCAATCAAAATTTTAACCCCATAATTTTGAATTTTGCATATATTTAATAACACTGAATTTAAAATTTAACTTAATTTCCTCTTTCATAATTGGAAATTTAGACTTAAACCAAATAAAATTCATATTTTTTTATTTTTAAAATTTGTACTCTTAAATAATATTTATAAATTTCTCGAAAAAAAATTTCATTTTAACCTATAAGTCACTGCAGTCTCCCCTAAATTAGCAGTCAAAATTTAAATTAGAATAAACACATTTTTTAAAGTCAAATTGGGATTGTCGAGACCTAAATTCTAAACATTAGTAATATAATAAATGATGATTATTGTTACATTTATTTTCACATCATTATTATTACTGTTATATTAGAGTTTATTAAATTTCGTCTTGTAAAATAATGTAAAAAATTTAAAAAGGCTCTTCTCCGTGGATATATTGCTAATTTTATATCAGTCAAAGTTTTAACATCCGCACTTCTATTCTTTCCGTCAACACTGCTAAAAAGGGCAAATTAAGTGAGTTTAACTAATAAATTTAATTCTAATTCAAGTCCAGAGAGAGAGAGAGTATTGGTAATTGAACCATTGTTTCTGAATTTATCATATTCCTCCCGAGTGGATAACTACACTGGTTTTCTTAGTTAAGAAATCATGCATAAATTAGGTTGGTTGGCTATTTAAATATGGCAAAACTTAGGCTACCTGCCTAACAGGAGGAATTCCTTCCTGTAGGGCTCTTCTGAGGAAAAGTGACTTGTAATCACATTGTAAAAATCATGAAAATGAAGTAGCCAGCTCATTTGCTTACGTTGGACTCCAGGACAAATTATCAGTATTCAGCAGTCTTTAACGGCTCGGTCACTGGTGGGACCTCTTCAATCAGGAGCCAGGTTATTGAATTCTAATTTACTAGTAGTAGTATTTAATTATGGCAAAGCACACGAGGGCTATCTGCCTAAGGGGAGGGATGCCTTCGTGGAGGACTTTCTAAGGGAAACTGGCTCGTATACACGTTACACATGGGGAAAACCACGAAAACACCCATGCAGCCAGCCCGTTCGCGGGATTCAAACCTCGGACCGAACTACCAGTGTTCAGGGACTTTACCGCTCGGCCGCTGGTGGGCCTCTCTAATTTACTATTTTATTTGCAAATACTTGAACTAGTATTATATTCTCAAGCACATATAGCAGAGTTGAAGTGAACGCTCTGTTACATGTGCTCACTTGGTGTTCTTAGAATCTAAGTTAAAGACCGGACGATTATCTCCCTACCTTATTCACTCTGGAAAGGTTGAACAGGTGTTTAAATTAAGTGTTATTCGGTTTATCTTGGAAGCTAAGGTGTCAAAACATTGCTGCACTTTTAAATATTTGGCTGAGTAGCTAATTTAAATAGCTGAGAATTAAGCAGACCATTTTTAATCTACCATTATTCACTTGGAAATTGTTCCATTGCACGATAATGCGTCTTCCCACCGGTCAGTAACCTAGAGCTGCTTTGTCTTGAAAATAAGTATGCATACATAGTCATACTGTGTGGTTTTGTAATACAGTGATAGTCATTTAAACCTCCTAAAATGCTCTTATCCCACTTGCTTTCGGTTTCTTATCTTCGATTGGAAAATTCTGCTATTATCCCGTTTACAAATGACGAATCAGATTACTTGTCTAGAAATGCATACACACCTTCTTTCTGCCCTCAATTTTAGCTTTGTAAATCACCTCGGGTTTTTTTTTTTTTTTTTTGTGTTTGTCACGTGTTATCGCATGAAATGCTGTTGGTCTCTTAAGTTATGGATCATCAACTTATCATGGTACACGCAATATGAGATAGTGTCGTACGAATGTGTATTTGTTGTATTAAACGTTTCAAGTACCATATTTACTTTCATATATATTCCTCAGGCCCACCAGCGGCCAAGCGATAAATTCGTCTCTTTACCTATCTTACTTCTGCTCTGTTTACCTTGTTCGTTATCACCTCGGAAGATTCCAGGCCCCCAACAGTGGCCGAATAGCTGAGACTGCTGAATGCTGGAAATTCGACCTGGGCTTGATCCCAGAACAGGCTGGCTTACAGTTGGTTTTTCATGATTTTCCCCATATGTAACATGAATGTGATGCAGTTTCTGCTGGAAACTATTTTACGAAGGAACCACTGTGCATTCAATGAAAAGATTTTATTACCTTTTAATTGTGTCTTTTCTTATTATATATATGGCAAAGCACACGAAGCTATTCTCCCCTTAGATAGCGCACGTGTACTTTGCCGTGTATGTTATAAGGGAAGAAAACATTTAAAAAATAATAAACTTCTTTTCTTGAATGCACTAAAATACGCTCTGGTTCACATGTCTTGTCATATCAGTGTCTCATTCTAAACTGACAGGATTCTTTTGTGCACAGAAGAGCGCCCTCCCCTTAGTAACTTCCGCCCTAGGGTGATAAAAATGAACTTTTTGGAGCTTTCTCAACACTGTATTCAAATGAACATTAGAAACTTTTAAATCACATGATGGGAAAGGATAAGAGAGAAGATGCGCTGGTAAATAGGATTTGTTTTGAGTAATGGATGTTGTTTGAGCGAATTTTAAAGTTGTAAGAGACATAAATGAAAATTCAGATCTTAAAAAATAAAGCAAGTGTAATAAATAAATAAATAAATAAATAAATAATGCTATATATTCTTAGGGATATTCTTTCTAATAGAAATTTGTGGTCTTTTCTTTACTTATTTCTATATTTTATTTTGCAGATGCTGAAGAGCCCTTGGAGTATACACGCTCTGAAAATTTCTGTTGTCGATTGTATTTTCAGTTTGAAGAAGCTTTAACTCGTTTTTCCTGTTTTTAAGACATCAGCTACTTTATAAACATTGTACCCCCCCCTTTTTTTTTTTTTTTTTGAAATATTTTTAAGTATATTTTTTATAAATATTTTGCGTGAGTTTACTGAATTATTTCGTTTTTATAGTTGAGAGAATAAGTTTTTACTTTTCGCTACGAAGTTGTACCTTATGTTAATCATATCAAAAATTAAATTGAGTATAAGTATCCTTAAATGCTTGACATTTTATTCTGGGGTAAGAGTTCTTAAAGTAAATCATTGTATGTAAGGAGTTTTAAGTATGCGCTAATTAATGTCGTAAGATGGATTTTATCTGGATTTTTTTTAGGGTGGGGTATCTGAAGATTTTCAACTTGAATCCAAAATTCAAAAGAAACGTAAGATAAAAGTAAATCTTGAAATAAATTTTCTCTGCTTTCAGGTGTTGTGGCGTGCAGTTCTACAGAGTACAGTGCGTTTTGAATTTATTGGTGTCTGTTATAGTAAATACCTGAAATTCATTAGAATATGCACTCGCTGGTAAATTTGCTCAGCTTCCGGGGATTAATCTTGATTCTTGCTAATTACATTCAGACATCATGAATACGGTTTGCAGACTGACAAATGGATAATATAATATTCAAATTGTAAGTAATGATAATCTGTAAGACATGTCACCCTATGAAATTTTTATGGGTGCCATACCATCAGAAATACTGAAAGATGTAGGCACTGCAACAGTTTGCTTTATTAAGCTTATACATGATCACTAAAATAGAGAACTTCCTTATGATGAATTAAACAATTTGAAAGTATTTAATACTAATGCTATCAATAAATACAAGCAGGAATTTACAGTTTGGGTAACCTTATGTAATATGCTTTCGGGGAAGGGAAAAGCTTAACATTTGTTCCAAATGGTAAAAATAATGTCTGTATAAATTAACAGGAAATTTTTTGTAATTAAAATTTATTGTTTAATGACGATTTGAATTTTGTACTTTCAAATTTAGAGTTTTGTAGCATATGGTCTCTCTGATATTATGCAAAAATTTGAAGTGTCAAATTCAGAATATTAACAAGGATTTAGAATATGAATTCAGCTAAAACAAGAGATTGAAATAGACTGCAAGTAAGTCAATTATTTGACCACATGAGAATCAAAGAGCATTCAGCTTGTAAATCAATAATAAATGAAGAGGCCAATAAAGTATGGATTTCAACAAAGAAGAGGAGGAGGGAGAAAAATGTCAATAACAGGTAAACTGTTAACATTTTTCTTAAATATTATGTATACCCGTTTTTATAATTAAAACTATTTTAAAAATCTGAAACATTTAATATTGTCTGGAAAAGTTTTACTCGGGTGCACCATGTAACACCAAGTAACTCATAAGAAAAGTTAAGCGGGAATTGGTGAGAACTCAAAGTCTTAAGTTCTGATGGAAGCTTTGCACTTTTACTAGTAATTGCACTCTTTTTATTACACAGATTTCGGGTCTTTATGTGGTATCATATACATGCAAATTCATTTAGGATGTGAAGAAAGTATGTAGCTGGATTGGCATGAATTCTACTACATGGCAGTTCTTGGCTGAAAAATGTTTGTGTTCTATTTACAGTGCTTGTAATTGTAATGCTTAATATTTTATATTATCTGTTACTTTTATACTATCTTAAAGGGATGTTTGAATAAAGGAGCAGAGAAAGGGTTTTTTTTATTATTATTTTAAAGACAGTTTCAGTATGAATATTCTACCAAAATGAAAAGAAAAATTAATTTGCTTCTTTACTGGAGTCTTTTTTATGCTAATTAAATGGTACTGATATATATATGTGACAAGAATGTAAGTCATTGTGGAATTGTGTTAGAATTAAGAGTACAAAGCTGTGTATTTGTGTGCATTTTTGTGAAAAATTGATATTAGCTTAGTGCGATTTTTGTTCTTAATCCTCTATGATCCGTCAACATTTTAATTTTCTATACTTTCTTAGTTTCTTTTTTTTTTTTTTTAGACATATGTTTAATTTTTTCGAGGCTATTTGTAATGATTTTTAATAAATTAAAATATTCATTTATCAATCTAATATGCTGTATTTGTCTACTCTATTATAACCTGTTTTTAGCCTCTTAACGACGAGGCAGGCTAGTTGGTTTGTCAATAGAATCTTCCTTATCTATGGGGCATGCTTTATAGCGTTTTATGTAAACTGGACCCTTAAAAAAGGGGAAGAAGATTAATTATTTTTTTAGTTAAAGCAGCTTTTAAATTAAGTGAAATGTTCATTTAAATACAAAATATTCGCGCTTTTCAGATAGCCAAAGTGCTTTCAGTGTTTATGAACCGCAATGCTATTATTCTACAAAAAATATTAGTTTTCCCCGTAGATAGCAAAAGTTTATTTAGATCGGCACATAGCGCACCCTATTGTTAAAGTGTTAATACAAAGAGATATGTTTTCAAAAAGAATCTCCGCTAGATGTTGTTAGCTTTTGCATTTATGCAATATAGTTATCTGTAATCTGTATGTGAAGAATCTTCCCAAATCTGGGTTTTCAAAATTTTTTTCTTCCTTTCAGTGACTGAAAAATATAATTAATCTTTCAAATATCATTGATTGGAGTCCAGCATTACTTATCACCAAGAAGAATTTAAGAATGAATTGAAATTCACTGTGAAATTTCACACACAGTTTTGAAATCCGTTGTGAACAATGAGCAATAAAGTAATTATTTGTAAAGTTTTTCATAGGGGGTTGGTTATCATGTAAGCACTGAAAATGCAGTATTTTTATTGGGTATTAGAAAACAGCAAGCAAAGAAAGAAATTCTATCAAATTAAATGAATGTAATTTTTAACAACTAAGTTTCTTATTATTTCATTTAAGTTTCTGTTTGTATTACTTTTTTAACTAATAGTTCGAGTTCATTGGGAATTGGGGCTATGGCATCTTTTTCCATTACCAAATGTTAAAGGTTAAAGAACATTTATTCTACCTTGTATTCTATTTTTATTATATTTATGATAACTGATATTTCTCTAATATCTGAAAAAGGATTTGTTTTCAGCTCTTATTTGTATTATTTATGAAATGAACCAAACATTTCCTCCATCGTATGATTTTAATGGTGAATGAACGTTGCATCCTACTTAGCAAAATATTTCGTGATTTTTCCTTCAGCTGTAATGAATAAAGATCTGAATTATGCTTTGTAGCATGATATAAATTAATAACAATTATAATACACAAACATGTATTTCTGTATACTTAAGATGCTTGTTGTGCAAGAAACGTATATGCTTTTTTGGCCTAAAATTTGTTGAGATCATGAGGATTAAGACACGTAGATTGCCAATAAAATCTTTGTATGTTTTTATACTCATTGTGAATTTCAAGCTTTCTGTGTAACATTGTTTATAAAATAAATTTTGCTACTGAATGTGATTTTTGTTGTTGTTGTTTTTGTTTTGTTTGTGTGTAATGTTTCAAACTCATGACTATTTTTAGATATTTAATATGTTGCTATTTAGTTGTCTTTTTAAAAAACACAGCAGTTAATGATATGATATTAAAAGCTAAAGGAACAAGAAGAAGTGTACAGATATATTCAAAATCATCATTAAAGTGATGGTGCTGTTTTACTGTGATAAAAATTTAATGATATAAAGTTCCTGAAACTTGGAACATTTCATATTTAAAGAAAAATTGAATTTTTATATTTGTTTGGCATTGAAACACTGATTTTTTTTTTTTTTTTTTTTTTTTTTTTTTTTTTTTTTTTTTTTTTTTTTTTTTTTTTTTTTTTTTTTTTTTTTTTTTTTTTTTTTTTTTTTTTTTTTTTATGGTTTCGTATCTGCTCAGTTTAATTCCAATTGATTTTTTAAGCTGTTATTTTACCAACAATATGCCGTAAACAATTCACTCATGAAATTGTACATTTTTAGACTGTTTCTGTTCTTCTATGGATTTAACCCCAACCAAGCTGTTATTACGATTACCTTTTCGAAAAATTACTTCAAATAACATCTTTTGCATTCCTGTAATTTCTAAAAGAACTGCCTCACCGGTGGCTGAGTGGTTATAACCGCTGAAATACCGAGGCGAACGGGCTGGGCTGGCTGCATGATCGGTTTTCGTGGTATTTCCCCATGTGATACGTGAATACGAACCAGTTTCCCCTAGAAAGTCATCCGCGAAGACATTACTCCTGTTAAGTAACTAGCCTTTATGTGCTATGCGATACCCAAATAACTAATCTTAAGAGAACTGCGCAGATTAAATTAAATTCTCTATTTATAGATATTTCTAAACTTTTGACTAGAAGTTTTTTCTTGGTTATGAATAAAATGAATCGGGCTTAAAAGCGAGATCAACCGACAAGAAAGATAAACTTCACGAATAGAAGCCTGGAGAGAACTGAATTAGTTATCTTCGTGTAATTATAGTTTGAAGGATTTTTGGTTAATGTCATCAATTAAATTTGGCTGCTTTTTGGAATCGTTATCGAAAAAGCGAATACACGGGCACATATAAATTTTCTTCTTGCATAGCTTTGCAGTAAATTTGTAAAGTATGCTGCTTAATCTAAGCGGGGAATGCGTGTCAGTATCCTGAATAATTATAATGGTGTTAAAATTTTTATAGCTTTTCAGGCATCATTGAAAAATGCTAAGTTATTTTATAATACACTTTGGACCGATGGACCCCCTACGGAGATCTTGCCTGCTTGTCTCCCATGGGCATTCTTTCACGCTGTAACGTTAATTTGGACGGCCGCCTGTTTCTCAACTTCTCTCTGTCTCTTTTTTTAACTGCCACCAAAGGGAAACTTATCAATTAAATTTCGTTGGAGCAAAAGAAAGGGAGCAGTGGTTAAAGGTTATTGAGATTACATAGAATTAAATGTCAGATTATTCGGCCGAATTTCTTGACATTTGATGCAATGTGTCATAAATGATGAAACATTTACAAATCCAGGGATCGGCTACTTATCTAGCTCGGACTGGAATTTTTATACTTTTTTCCTTTCGTATACAGGGGGCATTTTCCTTACATCTCGCTGTTTCGTACATGATTATGCATCTCAAACATGTGAAATAATGATGAATTCGTGAACGATGATGCATCGAAAAGTTCTTCGCAGTCTCACATCATGAACATTATTTTTTCATCTCCATCAATAAATTATCTGGATTAAATTTATAGCGCGAATTGATTTCTGCAACAAGAAACCTTTCAGTGGGAAAGTTTAAGAATAAAAGATAAATTTTCGTATTAATTTTAGGTAAATGATTTTATGCGATTTGAACATAAATATCCGCTTCTTAGAATTGTCCAAACAGCAGAAATCGTTCATTTAGGTTTTTATTTATTTTTAATAAATTATTTTATTTAGTTATTTATTTCTAATATAGTGTTTGTTATTTTGGAATGGTAAGGATGGAGAATTTACTACTCTTCTGTAAAAAGCGACGTATGAAACGTTATTTATTGGTATTCTAAATGAAAATGAATATTGTATATGAATGAGCAGAATTTCAGATAATTAAACAAATGAATTGTTTATAAGATGGCTTGTCTTTAACCAGATGCTCTTTTGTTCAATTCCATTCTAGGATATTCATTTCTATTCTAAGTTTCAATAAGAAATGCGAGCAGAGCTTGAAAAAAATTTTTGTACTGAGTAAAGAATAAAAGGATTGAAATGCACTTTTTATTTATTTATTTTTTGTGCAAGTAAAATAATCTAAAATTCATTTTTTAACTACTTTTCTCGACAGTATTAGATAAATGAAAATAGTGTTCACATGAGGTATTTTACTATAATTACCGTACATTTCCGAATATAAATCGAGAGTTCTGATCTTGCTAAAAAAAATAAATGAATATAAAAGAGAGATGATCCGTGTATATTACGCTGTTTTCGCATGCGTCAGTCAATTAGATATTTCGAAAGTGACCATTCTCCGAAATGCCTCTTTCGAAATGCAATCAGGGACAGTTTGCAGGTCTGATAACGGTTTTATGTCGGACCGCTTCAGAAACAGACCCAAATTAAGGGCCGATCACACGGAATGCTAAAATAATGTCGAGCAAAATTTTATACGTGTCAGAAATCTAATTAAACTAAAATATATATTTACAAACTTGATTCCATCAATTATTTATTTATTATTTAAAATGTGTTACTTATAGTAAATATTTTTCTGGTAGTAATTTATTGATTATCATCGGCCCTTGATGATCATGACTTCATCCTCCCTTGACTGAAAAATAAGCAATTAGTATACGGCCCGCAGCTCGTTTTAAGATATTTTATTCCATTATAGGTATGTTATACAGTTATTATATTTACCATTTACATAATATGTAATTTAAAATTAAAGCGAACTTAAAAATCATATTCAGGTAGAGCAAAGAAAAACAAACAAAAAAAAAAAAAAAGTAATTCGTTCCAAACAGTGTAAACAGTCACTGCATAAAATTGATATAAATGAGTAAATTGTAAAATATTAAATAATTTTATGGTAAAAATAAAAATGGTTGCAATTTCAAAAAACATATCCATATACAGCGAAATGGAGAAAAAAACGAAGTTCGATCAAAACAGTGCAAACAACGACTTCAAAAGTAGATAAATAGCCTATTTCTGAGCTGAGAATTTGCTGGTTACCCTTAATTTACAATGAAGAAACTAAGAAAGATATATTTTATTTATTGCAGTTGTTCTTGTAAAATTAGCAGATGGGTAAAAATTTGAGACTTTCATGTTCGTCTTCGAACTTCTTTTTTAAAGATAAATTGCTTTTTTATTCTCTCTTTTTCACTCTTTAATGAATGAAAAAGGTGTAGAGTAAAATATGTTCCTCCAATCGTTGTCGATGAAATTGCTAAACGTTAATAAAAAAAATTAAATAAATAAAAAAATGGCAAAGTTTTCCTTTAAACGTCTTCTCTCTGCTTGTACAATGAATTAGTGGTTTCGATGTTTTATGTTTTATCTCTTACGTCGTGGTTCTAGTTGTAATTTCAAAATCATAATAAAACAAAAGGTGGGTGGGAAACATTTTAAGTCCAGCTGTGTAACATGAACACAATAAACCTGTATTCCCTTGTATCGAGATGCATTTTTCCGCCTTCAAACGCAGAAACATAAATCAAATTTGAACTGTGAAATGATTTATGTCTTTAAAGTAATTGGATTTTTTTTAATGAAATCATCCGTTTGATCGTCTCATTTTTTAAGGGAATTCTCTAAAGAATGGTGTTATTTTGATAACTCATGTTCGAATGATATTATTAAGCGATGTAAAAAATTATCCTTTAAATTATCAAATGGAATTTAACTAATTTAGTAAAAATATGACTAGAAACATATAAATACTTATTTCATTTTCTTCACAGCATTTTTAATTAGGAGAAAAGTCATAATTGTTGATTATTTGTAACTGTTACACTAAAATTTTTTATAAACTGTTCATAATGTTTTTGGATATTATTTGATCGATGCTGTACCCTTGATCTGAACACTCGTAGCACATCACTCTTCTTAACAATTTGTTGATTCACCGATCTTATCATCTTCGGTAAGTTTATCACGTTTCAAATATCTTCTGTCACTGATGAAAAGCTTGAACGTTTTCATCAGTATTTATCCAAGCGTTAAATTCCTCACAATTCGTATTAGTTGGTGACGTTATTTTTAATTCTTGAACCTTCCTCTATTTTATCATTTATTAAAAGGTTGTTACTTAAAACGGTTCTTTATTTTCTCTTCTAAGACGCGGTTCGAAGACATGTTCGACAAATGCAGAGCATCAAAAAGGCTAGTTTTCCTTGCACTTAAGTCTCTATCATCCGTATTATGGAGAATTCTAACCTAATTTTACGTCAATAATGATCTTCCGTCACTGTAATAATCCCTTGATCATATGGCTGAATTATGACTGTAGTATTTGCTGGCAAATGCACAACTTCAGTATGTTTAAGAGGGACATTTACGTTATGCCCTGTGCAGTTGTCGGTATTTTCTTTAGTTCGTCATCCAATTTCCAAAACCATTCATTAAGAATTACTGACTTCATCCGCAGCTTTGGATTATACTTGCAGTCCATTGGTTTACTGTTTACTCAATGATAATTTTTTTTTTTTTTTTTCATTTTTCGATTGCTAATAGCGTTCCTTTCATACTTCATATACCTACGCAGCATAAAGAGGTTACATGATCATGCGCTATTTTAAATCCTTCCGAAATTTCAGTTTTAAATAACTATGTAAAAGCAACGCATGATAGTATAGACTTTTTTCAGCGGCGTTATAAATGCTTTCAAGTGAGTAGCACTTCGTAGCCAATTTAGGTTATTCATTTAACAATGTGTCTGCAGGAAATAAATCAGCATCTTTTCCTTCGCCATGAATGCTTCAGTAAACACTGTTTTCTCTTT